TAACTTCATTTCACTTCCCCACATCCTTTTCTTCCTTTCACATCCACAACAATATTAAGAAGCCAACTTCTCCCTTTCCTCAGTTTGATTTTGACCCGTCGCCAACCACCGCACCACTTTCTCTAACACATATAATCTTCTGCTTTTCATGTTTTTTGCTTCCCAGAAAACCCTAGTTCAGATCATAATCATATAGGAGGAATAAGAGAAAACCCTAATTCATGCAATCTTCAAGCGGTGGTGGTGATAACGAGTTCGGCTCCCATTGTTGAACCCACCGTCTTTGTTTCAACCTTCATCAAGCCAGTCCATCTTGGGTGCTCAAGGGCTCAACCGAGTTTCGTTTCCAAGCTCATCATCGATGCAACCAAAACCGGTTCACGACATTTACGGTGTTACCAAGAACCCCAAGAAGCGAACCAGGGCATCAAGGAAAGCACCCACTACAGTTCTCACCACTGACCCGACGAATTTTAGAGCCATGGTGCAAGAATTCACTGGAATCCCCGCGCCACCGTTTTCGAGCTCTTCATCGTTTCCTCCGAGGCTCGATCTTTTCGGGTCCAATCACTTGGAAGCTTTACGTTCATCAACTAGAAGAGTCCAGCCAGCTGCAACTCCATTGTTGAATAACATTCCTTTAAATATGTTAAACTTGCAAAACCAGATGGTTCAGCCACTGTCCCATGAAAGCTCGGTTTCAGGTTCAACAATGGCTTCTCTCGATGAGTTGGCCGGCTTCAGCCATGGTGGCAGTGCGAGTCTCAGTGGCTTACATGGAAACTTGAGACACGGAGTAGTTGGATTGAACGATGGGAACCAAGCTCATTTGAGGACGTTTGGTACTAATTTCAAGTTGGATTACTCAGTTTCTTCGTCAGATTTCCACCACGAAAAGGGGTTTGAAAACCTTCCATCAAGAGCAGAAGGCACAGTTGATTCATGGACAAATATTTCTCCTGCAGAGTAGAATAATAATTTACCGTTACGAAAATTACATATGCAAAATAACCATAAATGTTAATGTGAACAGGATTTTGCTGCTGTTATCATATTCTCTGTTCTTTTGCTTCATTTTAGAAATAAATAAACAGTATAATTATATGCTATATTGTGCATATATCTTGAAATTGCGTTATATATATATTATTATTATTATTATTATTATATTTTTTTATTAAACTAAAATAATTACAAAATAATATATGTTATCTTATTATTACATTTAAAGAGCTGTTGAAGCATTTTTCCCACCTGGATTGTTTTCCAATAAATAATCTTCTTTTTGATACATTGATTTTGATGTGTGTTTTACTTAAAAATGGAAACTAAGAGAGCGTAAGCAGTGATGAAACGTAGATGTCAAAGTGACGCAATTTGGTCGTCTTTCAAGGCTGCAATGTTAGACCGTTTGGGTTTTTGATTTTTCTTATCTCATTTCTTCAAAGATGGAATAATTAAGCGTTTAATTTTCCACTTATTTGGCCCTTTCTCTTGCTCGGTGGGGATGATTATTAAACCATGTGAGTTTACCGTCTACTTTCTCCAAGTCTTGGCTATAATCATTGCTCAACAATGTGGAGATGAGAATGTCCTTAGTTTTAAGCCATTCAAGTTATTTCAGTGTGATTTTAGATCATCCTATTTTTTGTCTTTTGATAATTGGCTTTAGTCATAATTATATAAATATATTAATTATATATATATATCTTCTATATTTGTATATTATACCGACTAAAAAATTATAAGATAATAATACTTAAATAATTTTTTATGGGTTTTATTATGATATGGATTTAATTATTTTATTTTTATTTTTTGAAAGAATATTAATAATAGATTTATTATTATAATTTAATTTCAAAGAAGGTCGAAGGATTTTAGGTTAAATTTGTTGAATTCGTAATATTTTATGATGAAATAGATGTTATATCCATATTTAGGAGGTTAAAAAAGAGAAATTTTAAGGTGTAATAACCGTTGTCAAACTACTGTCGATGTTGATCGTCTGTGATCGACTGTGATAATAGTGAGGGGTGATTGAATACGAAAAATTATGATCAAATTCATGAGTTAAAATGATATTTTATCTAAAATGACTCGCATACCATGTTATTAAATTAATGTAAATTAATGATTTAATGACTAAAACGTAATAATCATTAATGAAAATAATAGAATTTTGACAATTTGATCATATAAGTGACAAAAACATAATTTTTCTATATTTAATGATTAAAAATCGATCATTTTTTTATTTGACATTTTATGTAGTGTCGGAAAATTTTATAATTTATTTTTCATTTTTTTATTATTTATGAACTTGAGAGTTGAAATTAAATGTAAATATTTTATATTAGTAATTAATCAATTTAATAAGATCAAATCTTAAATCTTAAATCTTAAATTTACGAAAGAAATAAATTAAATTAAGAGAATTGTTTGCATATTTAATTTTTATAATATTTATTATTAATTAATTAACAAAATAAATATTTCTTTGTAAGTGTTGCACTGCAAATTGGATTCTACTGTTTATCCCTTGTTCCATTCTAAATTCAAAGCCCAGTTTAAATTCAATAACAAATAAAAAAGTTAAAAAGTTACCAGAGATTCTGTATTTTTGAGAAGAAAAAAAAATTAATGTTGTACTCGTATTGTTTTTTTCTTCTGAATGTCTCTCAAATTCAGAAAAAAAAATATAATATAATCTTTCAACTCAGAAAATAAATTTAATGTAGACATTTGACCAATATTTTTTCGTCATTGATTGTTATAATGTTAGCATGACATTACAATGTGCTGACATAACGATATACGGTGTTGACGTAACAACTTATTTATCATTTTTGTGTTATTAATTTAGTTTATCTATCATGTCATCTGTTACGTCATTAATTATTATGAAATGTCACATCATTAATTATTATGAAATGTCACGTCAATAACTTAGACTACTATATTAATATAGTGAAATGTTATGTTAATATTATAACTATCTATAACAAAAATAATTAATTAAAAAGTTACATTAAAAAAATAATACAAAAATAACATTAATTTTTATTTTAAAATATAATGACCTCTGATAATTTTTTACCTAAAAAACAGCAACTCACACGTATAAAGGGATCCCGTTAATAAGGCCGGGTAACAGGGGAGTATTCTGAGCAATTACTCAGTCCCCTATTTTTTATAGGGTTCTTGATTTTTAAATTTTACTTTTACAATTAAGATTTTTAATTTTTTAATTTCAATTATACATTTATAATTAAAATTTATAATTTTTTAATTTTTATAAACAAGGTCTCTAATTTTTTCAATCTAGTTTTTTACAATAATAATTGAGTATCCCAAAATTTTTCAATATCACATTTTTACCTCTATAATTGAGGCTCCTAACTTTTTAATCTTATTTTCTACCTTTATAATTGAAGTTTCTAATTTTTTATTCACTACCCTTAATTTTTTCAACCTCATTTTTTACTTTTATAATTGAAACCTTTATTTTTTTAATCTCACATTTTTACCTTTATAATTAAGGTTCCTAATTTTTTTCAATCATACTTTTTGATTTTATAATTTAGGTCTCTATTTCTTTTAATCTCATTTTTTACATTTATAATTGACTCCCTCAATTTTTAATCTCACTTTTATTTTAATAATTGAGACTCCTAATCTTTCAATTTCACCTTATACTTTTTATAATTTAGAACCTTAATTTATTCATTTTCTTACAATTTATTAATATAATATTAAATTAATTATTCAAAATCATTTATTAAAGGTCTATTTTTTAATTTCACTCCTATTCCTAAAACTGTTCGAGATGACTATGCTTGTTAATGGGTCATAGTAAATGGATCCGGTCTCTTTCGCCTAAAATGCGTTTTTTTTCCTTTTTTATACTATAAAATGTTTAATAAATTATTAATTTTAATTTATTGTTCTAATAAATACATTTAGTAAAAAATGTAATTAAGCTTCCATTTTTTAAACCTAACTAAGTTGAATTGGATGGTGACCTAATTTTTTATTCAGATTACATCGAAACCAACTCGAATAGCTCATTCATGTTGAAGTTTAAAATATTAACTAAAATAATGATTCGCGGAAGGAACGAGTCAGATCTTGTTGGACAACACAGCCACATCCCACACACAGGTACGCTGAGTTCAGCGCATGTGAAACATATCCAAATGTGGTCCACAAAATGATTTGGTTTGGAATGGTAATGTAGCTGTCCAAATACTTACAATTCCTTGAATGTTCACATGGCCGTGGAGAAAAAAACGAAAATGATGTTTTTTGTATTTTTTTAAGGGTAGAAAAGAATCTCCTTAATTAACATGGAAGCAGAAATGGACTTAAAATTTGATGTTAGGGGAACGAATTTAAACTTTTAAAATTTCAAGAGCTACAAATAGATTTTTAATAAAAAAATACATAAAAAATTTAAAATATATAATAATTCAACACACTACCATCTCACATGTTCAGAATTTGCTTCAAATACTTTATCGCTAGATCATTAGAACTAACATTATCTATTGTTATAATTATGATTCTTTTAAGACCCAATTCTTATAAACACTTTTCAACATATCTAACAATAAGCTCCCTATAATGACCGGCAATTGGGCAAAAGCTTATGATCGTTTTATGCAATTTCCAATCATCATCTATGAAATGGGAAGTAAGACGCATATATGACAAATTTTGACCAGATGTCTATGTATCTATGGTAAGAAATGCCCTAGAAAATAAATTCTTGAAATGAATTTTCAACTTCTTCATGTTTTCAATAAACAAAGCATAACAATCGCTGGTAATAATAGTGTGGGAGGGAGGAACAAAATTAGGAATATCAATCTTACGAAAATAACGAATCCTTCACATTCAACAAAACTAAATGACAAATCAACAATCACCATATTAGCAAGTGCTTTTCTAATCTCATCTGGAACAAAATGCCATAATCTAGGAACACTAATAGTTTCAATAATCCCATCAGCATTGTACTTTGTCTTAGACTCAAAATTTAAGATTGTTTGTTTTGTATTTGCGTTAAAAGGGGATTTCTTGTATCGACTAGGGTGACGTTTCATGGAGTTAGTTCTATTATTAGATGCACAAGATATTTTTTTAGAACAGTAAATGCATTCAACATGAGATTTGTCACCCTCACATACTTTAAAATGATCCCATACAACAGAGGTTTTTTTCTTCTTTTCACCTCTTTCACTTGTATGCTTCAGTAATATTTTTCCCTTTCCTTTTGTTTTTTGTATTAGTTGCAGTCTCCATCACAATTTTAGGCTCCTTAGATGACCCAACTGGGGAAGATATCTTCCTTAAATCATCATTTTATCCGATTATCGACAAAATCTAAAAAAAGATTATAATATTAGTATACAAACAAAAACAATTTCATGTTTGTTATTCTTTGGATTATCATTCCATCGACATTATAGGTAAACATATAAAGTTGTCCACATCAATAAAACACTAACGAAATCTCAATACAAAAATAAAACACAAGCCTAGAGAGGATTTGATTATACATGAAGTACATTAAAATCTTACGGTTTGACCATTGGAAGGAAGAACTTTGAAGTCTATTATCAAGGTCTGTCAATTATAATTATGATAGCGGCTAAAGTTGGCAGTGTAACACCAGTGAATTCAAATAACAAACATACTGCATACCAAAATACAAACTAAGGTATTGAAATTTCCTGTGGACGTTTATTTCATCATGTAAAAATAGTCAAGTTCAAACAAATAAACCAAGATTTGTCTATTTAATAAAGTACAATACACATAACACCACATATTTAAACACAATTAGCATCACATGGGGATACACCATGCATACAAGGATTGCAAAGTCTAATCCAGAGTGTTGGTTGCCCTCATAATGAACTTAATCAATTTTCAAATTTTATCTATCCAAGTGGATGAATAAAAGAAAATTCTTCATTCCATTATAAAAAAAATTCAGATGTTAATATTATAACCCATCTTTTGAACATTTCAATTATAAGAAAAGTTATTTCCCACCATTTATTGAGAGAATCAGAAGTAGAGCAGTTTTATTTGATCTTGAATGATGGGACTTACTTGAAGAGTGCGGGTGGCAATGAAATGAAAACACCAGTTTGGGTCTCTCGCCTGCTTGACCGGTCGCTTGATTGTCCGGCGACCGTGCGTGAATGCCTAAACGATAGCTTGTGAGAAATGGGTTGAAGGGTTAGGGATTGAAATGGGAAAAAGTGATTCGTGCGTGAGAAAGGGAATAAGAGACCGAAGAGTTTTAATTTTTTTAATAAAATATACTAAAAGTAAAAAACAAAGCTAAAAAGGTATCGGGTGTCGGGTCAGTGGGCACCCGATTAAGTCATAATTTGTGACTAGGGTCCGACCTGGAAAACCAAAATAATTAGCGGGTTGAGTGTTCGATCCGAAAATTCAGGTATTTTTAATATAACTATCCGATAATTTTCGATCGGGTCAGCGGGTCAGAAAATATTTAACACACCTATTGCTACTGCTGATACACCACACCACCTAGGACAACGAAATTGCGGGAGGTGAGCAGCAACAACATATTTGCAGACGGGAAGGTCAAGTGTTGAGATTACCTTGGCGGTGTACGCAACCCCCCCCCCCCGGTGGCGAAACCAACATTGCTTTTGTTTAATTTCTTAGGTCTAACCCGTGAGTTAGCTCCGTCGTTTAGTTTTCCGGTGTTTTACTGTTCTCTTTAATGGAGGTGTGATTATATAATTTCACCTTTTTCATTGTGGAGTTTTGGGAATTATGTTTTAGGATTTAACATGTCAAATGAGCTATGGATCATCATTGGTAATTGAATTGTTAGTCCTTCTTAGTCTTGTGTTTTATCAATTACGAAATAATCATATATCAGAATTTAAGATTATACACATAATTTTAAATAATGCGAACCAAATACTCTTCTAATCGAGTTCGAATGCTTGAATTAAGCTTTAAAATCTAAATTTTGTTCGGATTTGAATTCTTAAGACTTGAGCTTGGTAGGATTCGACTAAACAACTGATGTTAACAAAATGCAGTCGGATTTGCCAGTTTCATTAAGGTTGATCTCATTGGGATTAGTTAATCGTTATTATAATAAAATGTTAACTATATAATTGATCACTTGTGTTTGTGTTTTGTCTACTTTTTTTCAATATAATATATGATGAGTTTCCTTTTTATTTAATTAAGATATGATAACTACAAATTAACTGTGTTAAATATTTTGGTATAATCACACATTTGGTCATTGTTATTTACATATTCTCTTAATTTAGTCATACTTTTAATAAATCAAAATAAATTTAATCTTCCAATCAAATGATGTCATGTTTTACCATTCAATTAGAAGACTAATTTTATATTAATTTATTGTTAATATGAAAAATATTTATTAAAAGTTAATATATATAAAATATTATAAATTTAAGTTAAGTATTTATATACAAATATATATATATATATATATATATATATATATCATGTTGTCTACTTTAGACCAAACATTTGTTTTGGCTTAATGGTCGGGTACATGTTTGTTTTTCCAAGAAATCTATATTTGAATCCATTTAGCCTCAATTTCTTTGTATTGTCTTCTTTCAACAAGAGAGTGACACATGTTACCCTTTGATTGGTGGAAAATAAATATATTAAATTAAAATAAAGTGAGTCCTCCAATTGAATGTTGACACATGACATTATTCGATTAGAGGATTAAATTTATTTTAATTTATTAAAAATAAGATTAAATTGAGAAAATATATAAATAACATGTGATTGTATAAAAAATACCACGTCCCCCAGTTAAAACAGTTAACTTGTGGTGATCATATCTTAATTAAATAAAACTGAAGTGATCGTATATTATATTTTTAAAATTAATAAGAAAAAAAGGATAAAATTCAAACATAAGTGACTAATAATGTAGTTAAGCCTAGAATAAATCAAGAAAGTGCCAAAATAAAGTTGTAAACACCGCGTTTTGGCTCGCAGTATCCACACCATTAAAGGATAAATCAGAGCTAAAATTTCAAAAGCAGCTTCTCAGTTTCATTTAGAAAAAAGAGAATGGAAGGAACCGAAGGGGAAACCATAGAAGGTGCTCCAAGTTCACAGATCGCCGTTCGATGTGCCAAAGCTGCGTTTCTGCTTTCTTCACTGATATCATATTCTAATAGCGTCCTCCAATCTGCAGAAAACGACGAACTTGAGGTAAAATCATAACTTGACCTTTCATACTCTTGATCGCTCGAATTTGTGTTCAATACGGTTTTCAGTTAAGATCCTGATTAAAATCTTGATTTCTCCCGACTCGACGTAGAAGGAGAAGATGACCAGAGAAATAGAAAATCTGAGGGTGGCGTTAGTGAAGGAACGGCTTAAGATCAAGCAAATCAAGCAGCATGGATCAATGGAGCTCATTCTTCAAGTAATATTCGTTACTTTGATTTCTAGTTTCGTTATAAACTTAGCATTTGATATCTTTCTCGATTGACGAAGATCTTAATTTTACCAACTGCTTAGTAAACTAGCTTCGGCTTAAAGTTTTACAATATTTTACAGTCATTTTGATATATGAAAGTTACGAAATGCATCCATTTGATTTTCAAAAAAAAAAAATTCACTTGTTCGTTTTCAGATCATCAATTTGCCTAACAAATTTACGCATTTTTAATATATTTATTCATATATTTTTATATTAATAAAATATTATTATTTATGAGTATAATATCATGTAAATATATAACATTATAATTTGTAATCATTTAATTAAGACAAAACACTACATATATATAATTATGCAATATTAAAATTCATATATAACATTATAATTTATACATCTAATTAAAATTCATATACGGTGGAACAATTGAGAATTCAGTCATATATCCTCAATAGTAAAACATGTACACGATAAGAACTGAGAAATCAACAACTCCTATATATGCAGATTAAACAATCTCAATGAAATTTTGCAGTCATTGACTAGGCCAAAAACTCAGTTGAATAATAATAATGAGAATAACAACAACGACGACAATAATAATGTATTTATAGAGTTTCTTGATTTAATTCGACACAAAAATCCACCATTTGTAGAGTCCGATGCTATAAATTATTGTATAAACAATCACTCTTATAGGGTAGATCCTATACCTGCACATAAACAAACATTTAGTGAAAACCCTGACCTCATAATATAAAAAATTAAAATCTTAACGAAAAAAAATAAAATTTACTAAAACACCAGATGAATGTTTTACGAGATATGAATATATATTTTATAAACAAAAAAAATAAAAGTGACCTGTATTTTTCGAAATCAAACGTACCCTTAATTCCTCACCACATTTTCAATAGGTAGGTCCACCTCAAGCAGATAAAGTTTATGGAATGGTATTCGAATACCTCAAGCAAACATGATTTCATACGTATATGAAATGAAGCCGTACACCTCTTAAGAGTTTCATGATTTCAACATATTTTTTTAAATTATTGACAATCTCTATATATTTCATACTTTACTAATAAAATAAAAATAATTAAATATAAAATTATTTTTTAGATAAGTGATAAATTTCAAACAATATAAATACACAAATACTCATCCATAAAAGTTGCTTGAAAGGCCGAGTTCCAATATGTGAAATGAACTTGAAGACGAAAAGAAGTGAAGGAGAAAAGAATTGATTAACCTTTTGAATCCGGTTCTTTGAGCTTGAAGAGCAGCTCTTTCGTCGGCGGTCACCGGATAACACCACCGGGAAAAATTACGATCGAAGAAATCCCAGTCCGGCAAGAGTATACCACTGATCCCGATCATTCCAAAGGCGTAAGTTATCATCATCTTCTTCAAAGATAACGTGAATACCCCAACTAAAACTATAATCAGCGATAACCACACTATAGCTGTCCTCAGAGCATCATCGTTAGCCATCGATTCAACTGTCCAAGATGAAGAAGCGACGGCGGCTCTGAAAAATGAGGAAGAATCGAGAAAGGCTGGTTTTCTATATATCTTTTTGGGGTGAAATAATTGCCGCTTTTAATACCTGTTGTCTCAACGGTTTCTTAACCTCCCTAAAAAAATCATTAAATGTTAGTAGTTGCCATTTCAATTGAATTCGAGGCTCTTTCTGAGTTGGAGTACTTCTCAAATCATTAAATGTGACTTTGACATCTTTCCATTGCCTTTCCGTCATATACCATTTCCTTTATATTTTTTTTATTTGAGAAGTATGCTATCCGATTATAAAACGGACTTTTGTTGAGTGTCTTAATTATTAAATTTTATAAAAAAAAGTTTTTTTAATTATATGATAAATTTTGTTGGGTCTCTCAATTATTAAAAATTATAAAATAGTCACTCAATTATTTATATGTTTTAAATTTATCGTTAAAAAAATAATGGTTATTCATGTTAGACTTTAACCTATTGACTGAAATATGATCACATAATTGTTTGAGTTGTATTTTATGGATCGAGCCCCCATTTATATTATATAGTTGAGTCAGTACTTCAAACATTATGTCATCGAGTCAATCCTTGAAAGCAACGACTGTGTCTATCGACATAATTAAAATATAATTTTATCATATCTCATTAAGCATGTCAACGGCCAACTCTAATGTCCGTCAACTTTTTAACATAAGATAATAAGTTTGGAATATATAAATAATCGAATAATTATTTTTAAACTTTTAATAGTTAATGACTAAATAAAATAACATCTTATAATTGAAAGGTCATTCTATAACTTTTAATACAAACTCAAAAAAATAACTCGATAATCAAATAATTATTTATGTACTTTACTCATATTTTTAAGGTTCTATTAAATAAATGTTGCTGATTCATAATTAGAGATATTCATGATAGAACTATATCAGGCCACGTGTTGTAACTTGGACTTTTTTTGTTCCAAGTTATTTGTATGGGCCCAAATTGACTAAATAATTTGTATTTACTATTCCATAAAATAATAAAATATTTTTATATTAATATATATTTTAATAATGCAATTTAGGTTAATCTAACTGAAATTGTGAATAATTTTTCCTCTCGACCTTTTAAATGTTGGAAAAATTATTGAATGAATTGATGATATTTATAGTTAATTAATAATAAGTCATGTCACTTAATCAATGAATTTAATTTTTGGTTTAAAGCTGCATCAATTCAATCATACTTATTCAATAATTTTCTTAATGAAAAGATTAAATCCTTTCATGAAAAGGTTAAGCACTTTTCATCAAACCTTTTCATCAAAATGATAAATCCTTTAATTGAAGGATTAAGTCCTTTCATCGAAAGGTATTAACCCTTCAATCCATCTCCTCCTCTATATATAAGCTACTTACGGCACAATTCTAAGACATAACACAACATAAGTTACACAAGTTTAGAACTTTGGAATAGGAAAAACACTTAGAAAATTCCTTCCAAATTCGTTCTTTCCGATGATAGAGAAAGGCAAGATTGTATTCAACTGATCACTACATTTGTGCTTACTGTTGTGATCGTTTGTTATTGTATCCTGTGAGACTTACGTCTAAGGTTACTTAAAGCACCTAGGAGAGGACGAATATGTCTTAAGAAAACTGTTCATACATGCCTCAACAAAAATCCTTCTTCGGTTTATCTTACTCTATTCATCTTATTCCGTATCTACACATGAGTAACACGTTTCATTCTTCTATTTTAATTCTTTATAATTATTTTGTTTTTTATAATATAATATTTTATTATTATTATTATTTTATCTCGGATTAACATTTTGTCTAACAATCTTAAGACAGATTATACGATTTTTTTATTCTAATCCAAGATATATGAACGAATGATTTATTAAATCAAAACAAACATTAGAGGGAGACATTTACAAACTCATTCGGAATTGTTGGTTAGCACGGTTTGCAACAGCATTGGAATTCAAACAGATTACACTGTTAAGTTGAGTCTACGAGCCTCATCATTGAAACCAGCCTTGAAGACCTAAGTCGAGTGAATTGGCAACTTCTAGTTTACATGGATAACTTGATTGGATAACTTGCAAATGATATTGTTTTTGCATGAATCACTAAGGACAAGCCTTAGTGTATCGTGATAAGGCTCGTAATTTTTTTTTTGTGATGAATGGTGAATTTCGATAAAAAAATCGAAAAGGTATGTGTATTTATACATTGAGATAATACTACTATTTCGGGTTTTATTAAATTCTCACCGCTTAACAGAAGTTAGTTCTGTTTCGAGAATTAATTTATTAAATTCTCGTGATTTAATAGAAATTGGTTTTGTTTTGGGTTTTAATCCTGTTGTCCAACAGAAGTTGGTTCTGTTTCGGATTTTAGTTTTAAATCCTGACATTTAACGAATTCAACAAAATAGTGTTGATTATGAATTTTTGTTTCATGTTTTAGTTTCACTAAATTCCCACCGTTTAACTTAAATTGCTCAATTGTTGGATTTTAGTTTTGACTAAAATTTGTTGCGATAAATAAGATACTGAACGAAATTATGATATGTCTATGAAAAAAAATCGGGCCTATAATTATGTTTCAAGATTTTAATCATGTTGTTCAACAAAATTTATTTGATTTATTGTTCATAACAGAAATCGTTTGGAGGTAACAACATTGTTACAAATTTTGTTTATAATTTTAATTTCTAATTAAATTTTGTTGTTTAACAGAAACAAACGGTAAAATAAATTGAATTAACTTTCAAGTTATTGTTGGAATATTTACAAATTCTGGTTATGTGTTTTAAACGAAACAATGGTAACCACATTAATTCATCTAACTCGTGATTTGAAATATTGATTCCTATTCAGACTTTGAATAAAATTCAACGATTTTAGTGGTTGCGAGCCACAACGAAAAGCATGTGAAATTCATGGATAGAATTTCAAGACATAGCGACATAAAATGTTATATTTAATCATGTTGAATATGGTTAAATATAGGATGATCCTCCTATTCATAAAGAGGATGAGATATACATTGTTTTCGTTAATGCTTGAAAGCATTCTAAGTTTCTATATCGGAATTACATCTTGAATGGATTGTCAGATACATCATATAAAGTGTATAATATCCATAAGATTGCTAAAGAATTATGACATTTGATCATGTTTTGAGTTGTCACATAACATGTGGAGGAAGTTATTTATTAGCAAATTACCTTTAAATAAGGTAACTTACAAGAAAATAGGCTAGACACCATATGAGTTATGGAAATGTAGAAAACTTTCCTACAACTACATCAAAGTGTGGGGGTGCCTTGTATAAGTATATGGTAAGTCAAGATACATACGTTGTCGACATAATATTATTAAACAATTGATATCAACTAGAGTTATCTATATTGATTTTGTAAGATCAAAAGATAACATTGTGGATCCGCTAAACAATGAGTTTAATCGAGATCAAGTTGATAAACATCGAAAGGAATGTGACTAAAGCCCATTAATATTTAAGGCACTATGTGAAGGAAAACCCAACTTAGTTGACTGGAAATCCCAAAATCTAAGTTCAATTGGATAACCTACTTGCATAGACATTGTGAGGTCACTATGGGGTTCTTATCCCCAAGTTCATTCCTATGATGAAAACATTGACTAAAATGTGGATGAGGTTAAGCAATGCTTTTAATGACCGCTATGTTTTTGGTAAGCCGAACAACATAAGTCACCTATGTGAGAGTGAAGTGGAACAGCTTCAAAGAGACTATTAGGGCATAGTTCTCTAAACTCTTACAGAACCAGGAGATATCCACGGCTATATGAACATAACCATGAGAACCAAATTCTTGTTAGTGAGATATTTGTGTGAGGTATGTCATCGCTTACACCAACGGCATGACAATTCAAGGACATCACCTCTACTGGACAGCTAGTAAGGTAAACATATTTTCACAAGGGAAGGTTCAAAGGGGGATGCCTACCTATTCTATGCAAATATCGAAAGTAGAATCTATTATCATATCGAGTCAGTGTTTGAACCATCAAGTTCATTCATGTAGGGGATTGTTGGAAAAAATATTGAATGAATTGATGTTATTTATAGCTAATTAATAATAAGTCAAGTTAATTGATGAATGAACTTAATTTTTGGTTTAAAGTTGCATTCATTCAATCATACTTCTTCAATAATTATCTTCATGAAAAGATTAAATCATTTCATGAAAAGGTTAAGCATTTTTTATCAAAAGGATATGTCCTTTAATTGAAAGATTAAGTCCTTTCATCGAAAGGTCTTAACATTTCAATCCATCTCCTCCTCTATATATAGGCTACTTAAGGCACAATTCTAAGACATAACACAACATGATTTACACAAGTTTAGAACTTTGGAATAGGAAAAACACTTAGAAAATTCCTTCTAAATTCGTTCTTTCCGGTGATAGAGAAAGGCAAGATAGTGTTCGACTGATCACTACGGTTGTGCTTACTGTTGTTATCGTTTTTTGTTGTATCCTGGGAGACCGACGTCCAACGTTACTCAAAGCATCTAGGAGAGGACGAATATGTCTTAAGGAAACTGTTCATACAAGCCTCAACAAAAATCCTTCTTCGGTTTACTCATATGATTCCGTGTCTACACATGAATAACAAGTTTCATTCTTCTATTTTAATTCTTTATAATTATTTTGTTTCATTCTATTATATAATATTTATTTATTATTATTATTTTATCCCAGATTAACATTTTGTATAACATTACATCAGAGCTAAACTACACTTGGATAAATCTTCTCGTGGCATCATACATTTTATTAAATATCTTATAATAATATAAAGTTGGATAAATTAATAATTAATATTATATGTCCATTCCTATGTTATTTACATCATGTTTATTTTTATTCAAATTACAAATCTAGAAATCAAGTTTAAAATAAGCAAGTCCATTAACGTAGAGACGTGGTAATAGATCTTAGGCATCACTGAGTCCACTACATTTTGGGCTTGAGCCCATCTGGTGAACTCAGCGGCCA